AGTAATGAATTAAAATTTTAATAAACTTAACTGATTAAGGTATATTTAAGCATGCTATTTGATATCTGGAAACTCATAGTTTTAATTTGATTAATCCAAAGAGAAAAATGTATTTTGCTGGTACCCGGCAGTGGAGAAAGGCATTTCAAAAGTGGCATTTTCACTGGAAAATGAATGTTAATTTAAAAAATTATATCTAAATTGTGTTCATAGAATATCATCGTCAAAAATGGGAAAAAAATGCCAATGTATAGAAAAATTGAAATGGACTAAAACCAAATAACTCCAACAGATGACTATAAGTAGTAGGGGGGAAAAAGCCTATGTAAATTTCTTTAACATGATATTAGCAGTAATTCTTGGATGTAGCAGTTAAAAGTGATGTAATGCTAGAGAGAAGTGCAACAAGAATAAAAGCTTCTTCCTTGTCTAATAGATTACCCCCTAAACAAATATTCAAGATAGATTAAGTTTATATTTCAGAATCACCCATACTCATTTTCCACCCTTCTATTTTTTTTTTTTTTTCCTGAGAGGTTTAGGGCATGTTTGCTCACCAGAAAGACAGAGAGAGACAGAGAGTGATGGAGAGACAGAAAGTGAGAAATCACCCCCCCCGGGGGGGGGTGGCGAGCAGGATGGTCACACCACAATCCCTTCTCCTCCATTATCCTCTCAGGATCTTGGACACACGCACACGTGCCCGGCGTGAATTTAAACCCCCAGGTCCAGAACTCAAACCATGGTCGACTACATGGGAATGTAGTGACATAGCCATTATACCAACTGCTGGTCCCAGGATAAAGATATGATTGATAATTATATTTGGACTGTTATAACCATGGTGAAAGGTATTTCCTGAGAGTGGGAAATATAAAACAAAATAAAAACCAATAAATTCAGGCTGGTCCCATAGCTCAGCTGTCAAGGGAATCGGTTCCTACATTGCTGACTGTGGCTCAAATCCTGGCCCCAGTGGCTTAAGAAATATGCTGGGCACAAGTGATTATATGAATATATAATCTTTTTTTTTTTTTTTTGGAGAGATTTTCGCTATAGGGCGCGTGTGCTTGCCAGACAGACAGAGAGAGACATAGCGACAGAAAGTGAGAAATCACCCCCTAGGGAGGATGGTCACGTCGCAATCCCCTCTCCTCCATTCTCCTCCCGGGATCTTGGGCACACACGCACATGCGCCCGGCATGAGTTTTAAGCCACTGGGTCCGGGATGCGAACCGTGGTCAACTACGTGGGAGTCCAGCGACATAGCCATTATGCTAACTGCTGGTCCCTCTGCTCTTTTCATACTATAATCTAAATTATAAAGGAGCATGTGTTTATGGAAAGAACACACAGTAATTGACATCAAAGAGACAGTGGGCTGGCTGCAGACAGCTCATTACCAATTAAAACACTGTAAATTCTGGCTTTATATGGATCTTTTCAAAAGCAAAGAACATCAGCAGCTAGAGCTATAGTATTCTTATAGATATGCTCTACTGAAATTTTAAACAATGATATTTGCAAATTATGAGCAGTTAGTAAAAATGCCATGACAAAAACATCTACCATGTAAAGATATATAATATGGGGAATTGTCTACTGAATAAAGGTAGATTTTTAACTTTAGAACCACTGGTATGCTACCTGAAGTTTGTATATATTTTTGTAAAACTATTATATGAGCTGTTTGTATTTCTAATTCTATGGTGCGTTTTCTGTGGTTTTTTTTCAAAGTCTCTTAAACGATTTCCTACAGATAATCCATAATTGCATCAGTTCTTTTGTCCAGAAGAGGCACCCCAGATTAGTAACATCATATTTATAATGACACCTCAGTAACTTATTTTTTTCTTTCTGGGAATGTTTTACATTACACACACTTTACAAACTTACCTCATCCAGCTTTTAAACAAGGATGAGTCCAGCTTTGCTAAGAAGACCCACTGTCTTCCCACTATTACACCAATAACTGGTCTTAATCATAGATAATTAGCATCAGTAATGATAAGGCACAAGCTCTGCATGTTAGAACTCTATGCTTCTGATCACACAAGGTGAGTGCATAACAAAAAGCTACTCAAGAAACTGACAACTTCATATAAATTCAACGTTATTTGAAAAGCATTACTGAGGGAACCAGCAGTTAGCGTAATGGCTATGTCGCTGGACTCCCACGTAGTCGATCGCGGTTCGTGTCCCAGACCCGGTGGCTTAAAACTCACGCCGGGCGCGTGTGTGTGCGTGCCCAGGATCCCGAGAGGAGAATGGAGGAGAAGGGATTGCGGCGTGACCATCCCCCCTGGGGGGTGATTTCTCGCTTTCTGTCTCTATGTCTCTCTCTGTCTGTCTGGCGAGCGCACGCACCCTACAGTGAAAATCTCTCCAAAAAAAAAAAAAAAAAGAAGAAAGCATTACTGAGAATTAACGGAATCCTAAGTGTTAGAACATAATAGACAATTTAACCACTTTCACTAGAGGGAATAGACTGGATAGAAAATATCTCATTAATTATCAAAGGGAGAGAGTAAAAAGAAGGGAACAGACTGAATGGCAAACTTCATTTACTATTAAGGAGAAAGAGAGAGAGGGAGAGAGAGAGAGAGAGAGAGAGAGAAAGAGAGAGCGAGATTGATTTAGCCTCCATACGCAGCATGAGTATTTGCTCCAGTATGGGGAGTATCAGACGGCTACAGCAGGAAAAGTATTTCTGAAATGCTACTGCTTTAAGTGACTGTGATGCATGTGGACAGCAAAATCATCCAAAAAGTATCCATTCATCCACTTATATATTCATTCAACAAGTACTTACTGAGTTCTTCCTCTGTGCCAGATATAGTTCTATTCTTTTAGGATACAGAGAAGAAAGTGACAGAAAATTCCCTGCCCTCATGGAAAATACATTACTATAGCAGAAACAGGCAGACAACAGACAAGTACAAATGAAAGAACAAAACAAGTCCATGTCAAGATTATTACTCACAGAAAAAAATATGGAGAGACCAGCAGTTAGTGTAATGGCAATGTCGCTGGACTCCCACGTAATCGACCGCACTTCGCGTCCTGGACCCGGTGGCTTAAAACTCACGCCGGGCACGTGTGCATGCATGCCCAAGATCCCAAGAGGAGAATGGAGGAGAAGGGATTGTGGCGTGGCCATCCCCCCTGGGGGGTGATTTCTCGCTTTCTGGCTCTCTGTCTCTGTCTGTCTGGCGAGTGCACGCGCTCTATAGCAAAAACCTCTCAAAAAAAAAAAAAAAAAGGACCATATGATGCTTCCCAGTGACTAGGCATGGATACACTTAGGAATGAAAAAGAGGCAGGAATTTTGGTGGAAAGAAATACAAATCTCAATAATTTAGATGCTGGTTATATGATATTTTTTATCCATCTCTCTTCTGCTGACCATATTTTTCCATTTCACTAAATGCTGTTGTTACACTAAAGTGAGGAAATGCCAGTCAATGATTATTGAGACCCACATGAGATTGGAAGAAGTGGCTGAATTCAGCTAAATAATTCTACTTCTGTGAGAAAATATGAAGTGGGGATGATGACTAAGTTAGCAAATCACTCAGTCTTCTTGTTTAGAGAGGTGTGTTTGAGTCTAAAATTTTCCAATCCATTCATACTTCATATATCAGATTACAGGGACTCCTCTAAAAGGAGGCTTCATCTATGGCCACTAGATGGCACCAATTAGTTTCATATTTTTAGACCAAAAATTAAATAATTATATTAATAATAATATTTATTTAAGTAACCATGGTAGTAATAGGACTAAAGATGGTATGTTTATTCAGCCCCATACTTGTTTATTCCATGTACCTTTATTCTAAATATTCCTTTTTAAATTGACCGAGTATGTTGAAAGGAAGGAAAGTAATGAAGTAGGTATATGTATATAACAATTTAATTCATAAGTATCACATGTAATACATAAAAAACATTTCTAAAAATATTGGAAAAACATCAAGGTTTTTATTTATTATTATTAAATGGAAACAAAAACTATGCAAAATATAAAATGGGGTAGAAATCTCATAATGTAATGTATATGATTAAGCTATAATCTATATACAAATTTAATATGTATAGCTTTATATAATGTGGTTAATAAAAATTAAGACTTAAAAAATGCATTTTATCATCTGATTGCCCTGTTTCAAACTACTACATTTTCACTGCTATTAAAATATTATGCAAATTTTTTTTAGGGAAAAGAGGACATACTCTCCTCATTTCTCCTTCTTCTTCTTCTTCTTCTTCTTTTTTTTTTTTTTTTTGAGACTTTTTTTTGTAGGACACGTGCACTCGCCAAAAAGAACAGAGAGCTTTTTTCTGTAGGACACGTGCACTCGCCAAAAAGACAGAGAGAAACAGAAAACAGAGAGACAGAAAGTGAGAAATCACTCCCTGGGGGCGGACGGCCATGCCACAATCCCTTCTCCTCCATTCTCTTCTCAGGATCTTGGGCATGCACGCACATGCCCAGAGTGAGTTTAAGCCCCAAGGTATGGGACTTGAACCACGGTTGACTACATGGGAGTCCAGCAACATAGCCATTATGCCAACTGCTGGTCTCAAACTATCCTCATTTCTCAAAAAATTCATTGGTAAACATCCCAAGTGTGTTATTCAGAAACAAAACATAACCATTCTCATATCTACCAGTAAAAACATTATAAAATGATTTTTGAAAAAACATAGCCTATATTTTTATATTGGTACACTTTAAAGTAAAATAAAGTGCAAGGGTAAAATAAAAATAAGAGTACACATAAATTCATTGAAAAGTAAAATATACAGTATGAATACATAATTACCTAAAAGAAAAACTATAGAATTACATGTTTATTACGCTAACACATTTGTTCCCGAATCTAAATCTCCTTGCTACTTTAGGATGAAAAAAAAAAAAAAAGAGTCTCAATTACTTATTAATAGGTCTATCATGATATAATATTTCTTTGATTTTAAAAGTACAAAATAATACTCACTTTAACATCTGCCAGGGTTTTTTGCCTCATAGCAAGGAACAATCTGAATCTCCCATCTTCCTCAGAGATCCTCTCTTCACAGGCTTTTTTCTCATTTATGAGATGTTCAAACACAGCTTGAGCATGTTGACATTTAAACTGCATACTTAAAAATTTGTTCCTATGAACAAAGAATTTTCCATGTTGTTAATCAATTCATATTTAAATTCATATTTTATTTCCTAAAATATATTTATGACACATTTGAAAAGAGCCAATATTGAAATATCTTAGCACCAAAGAGCCTTGAAAAAATTCCCAGGACCAGCAGATGGTGTAACAGCTATGTCGCTGGACTCCCATATGGTCGACCGCGGTTCAAGTCCTGGACCCAGTGGCTTATATTCATGCCAGGCGCGTGTATGTGCGTGCCCAAGATCCCGAGAGGACAATGGAGGAGAAAGGATTGTGGCTTGGCCATCCCCCCTGGGGGGTGATTTTTTGCTTCTGTCTCTCTCTTTCTGTTGAGCACACGCACTATATAGCAAAAACTTCTCAAAAAAAAAAAAAATCCAACTCTTTTTCTAAAGCCTGTCTCCATGGAGCTACATCTAAAGAACCCAGGTGGAGAACATCTATGGAAAAATTCAGTGGATCTCCTGTTTGCCTTCCTAGCTTCTGTTCTGATGGCGCTTCAAGAGAGCAACTCCTTCATCCAGTATGCAACTTTAGATTTCCGTTAAGATATAGATTAAGCCAATTAGCATGTGACTGTCCAGGAGTGAGATTATTTATTAAGATAATTCAGTAAAAGGTAAGAGAAGGACTTAATTCCATATAGAAGAGCTAATGTCTACTAAATGTGAATGACAAGTCATGTTTTCTAAGCTGCTGGCAAGAGCATGGTGAGAAGAGAAAAGATCCAGTACCTGGCACTAGGCTGCTGAATCAACCAATCCCACAGCCTGTCCCACCATGGACTTCCTGTTATCTAAGAAGATATATTCTCCTACTATTTTAGGCTGGCTTGTGAATGTGTGTGTGCGCGCATGTGTATGTATTTTGTCATTTGCAATGAAATACATCTTGGTAGAGAGGTAAAATCAGTTTTATCATAAACTCAGTAGTTATGCAAAGGCCAGTTATTAGTAGAAAAATAAAAAAAAGTAAAATAAGTAATTTTTAAGACAGTACAGTGCTCTTAAGATCTCATTTAATACAACAAAAACAGCCCTGTAAAATAATAATTATTATAGTCACTTACGGTTGAGAATCCTAAATACTTACCGTTAATTAGCTTGTGTAAGTTCAAATAGTAAGTGGACAAACTAGAATTTAAATTCAGTTCTTTCTCTTTTTGTCTTAGTAACTGAACTCTAAGCATTTATTTTTTTCTCACTCTCTTCATTTTGGCTGTTATCAGCAAATTTGAAAATTACTTCTTGTTTACATTTGGTGAGTGTGAACCTCTTCTACACAGAAATGAGGCCCTTCATGTTTATTCTGATTTTTTTTTATATTTTACTATTCATAACCACAATGTCTCAACTTCTTAAGTGATGCTTTATCTAAAAATTCTCAAAATATTGACATTGTTGTGGTAATCAATGAAATGTACAGGGGGAGGAGTCGGTATGACCAAAACCATAAAACATAGATGCTCCCAGTAACACTGTTATACTTTAATAGCATATACTTTGTTTTCTATATTGTTTTGAGATTGAATTATATTTGATACAGAAGTTTATCAGTTACATGTAGATATCACATTATATACACTGTATATGTATATATGTAACATATCTATTCATGGAACTATGGTTTCCTTTTTTAGCTTAAAAAAAAAAGAGCAAACTGAAATTGTATGGTCTGAGTTCAAATCCATCCACTTCCTAGATGAGGACCATTGTAAAAATTAAATGAGAAGCAAGGGTAGCTTTCATTCCCATTACTTTTATTTATTTTTTTGCAGACATTTATAACGGCTTTATTTGTAAGTGCCCCAAACTGGAATTGACACAAATGTCCTTCTATGGGTGAATAAACAATTTGTCCATCCTTTGTCTTGCATATAAAAGATTTGTCTCTAAAAAGATCTTTGGATATTTGAAGTTACACTTTCTCATTTGTGATTTCTTTGTCCTTTGGGGACTGGTCCCTAGTGCACTATGGATTTTCAATAAGTAATTATTAACTTGATGTAGCCACCTATTGGAAATATCAATAGATTACTCATAATTCTGTCTGTCTACAATAATCTTTTTTTGCAATCCCAGTTTAGGTAGTCAGCACACACAATGGGAACAGAAGAGAGCTCAACTGGAGCTAGCTCTGTCCCTAATTAGCTGTGATCTTGAGATAATCCTTTGATTTCCCGGAGCCTCTGTTTCCTCAGCGTTCATTGGACAGGACATTATAAAATTTAAGAATTTGCTGTGAGAATTGAATGAGATGAGGTACACAGATTGTCCAAGTAAGTTTCTGCCACATGTGCAAATCAGTTGATGATTGCTTTAAATATGCTTTCACATTATTCGTCCCCACTGTTAATTAATAGTTTTGTGGGTAAATCATATTATTGACTTACTCTTTTTCCTCTTTTCCTGTGGGAAGTCAGAGCTCTGTCAAATTTAGAGAAGGGATTGATTCACTGGGACCTGGTGACCACTCTTGCCTGAAAGGCAATATAAGCTAGCCACAGTTCGTGAGGAAGAAGTTAGAATTAAAATCATAAGAAGCATGAAGAAAAATGTTATCAGCTCCTGAATTAGATATTTATCAATTTAGTATAAGTTATATAATTTTAGGTTTATAACTCTGAGTCTCAAAATACTTGTACATGTGTTAAAAACAATGTAGATAAATATCTTTCAAAGTAAGTAATATGTTTTCTTGCTTTCTTACATAATATACCAAATGTAATTTAGTCTTTTTTCAGATAAAGCTGTGTAATCAGGTTGAAAATAAGTTTTCAGGGACAGTCTATGGCATGCTGATTAAGACAGCTGGGTCCCACATGGCTAACTGCGTGGTTTGAGTCCTGGATCTGGCAGCTTGAAAAACACACGAGGCAGATGTGTGTGTATGCCCAAAATCCTGAGAGGAGAATGAAGGAGAAGGGATTGCGGTGTGACCATGGCCCCTGGGGGCTGCTTTCTTAATTTCCCTCTTTCTCTCTCTCTCTCTGGCAAGTGCATACACACTGTAACAAATTTTAAGAAACAAGAAAGAAAATATGTTTTACCACTATGCTAATAGCAGATAAGAACTCCTTATTGAGTTATTTGTGTTGACTCCATTATGATATATGTTATCAGGACCAGCAGATGGTGTAATAGTTATGTTGCTGGACTCCTATGTAATCCACCGTGGTTCAAGTTTTGGACCTTGTGGCTTAGAACTCACGCCAGGTGTGTGTGCCTGAGTGCCCAAAATGGAGGAGGAGAAGGGATTGTCACATGGCCATATCCCCAGGAATTGATTTACCACTTTTTGTCTCTCTGTCTCTCCAGTGAGTGCATGTATCCTATAGCAAAAATCTCTCTAAAGAGAGAGAGAGAGATGGTATTATCAGGCTGTGTATAACTGTTTTTTGAACTTTGTGCCTTAAGAGTTACAGTTATGTAAATGCTTATAATAGCCTTCTATATTTAAATCAAACTGTCCTTCCTAAACATGCCCAATACATATTCCTCTAGTAGTCCTCCAAGCCCAGTTCTCCATGTTTTACAAAACAGAACCTAAGATGAGGAAGGAAGAGCAAATAATCTAAGTGATGGTCTATAGATACATATCTGTTCTTGGAGCATGATCATTTCCTAAGTCAGAAGCTTTATTCATCCTTGCCAGTTAAGAACCCCTACTGGTGAGTAATTGAAGATGATAAATGTGAATAAATTACATGAGGATCTGAGGAGATCTACTTCTTTATTTTTGAGAGAGATTTTGGCTCTAGGGTGTGTGCACTCATCAGAGAGACAGAGAGAGATAAAAAGACACAAAGACAGAAATCATCCCCAGGGGAGTGGCAACACAGTAATTCTGTCTCCTCTATTTTCCTCTGAGGATTTTTGGCACTGGTGCACAAGGCCTGGCATGAGTTTCAAGTCGCCGGGTCGAACTGCAGTTGGCCAAGTGGAAGTCCAGCAACGTAACCGTTATGCCATCTGCTGATCCCGAGGAGATCTATTTCTAAACTCTTACCTCAAAACTGTAATCAGGGACCAGAAGTTAGCATAATGGGTATGTCGCTGAACTTCCATGTAGTCGACCACGGTTCGAGTCCCAGATCCAGTGGCTTAAACTCACGCCAGGCGCGTGTGCGTGCGTGCCCAAGATCCCAAGAGGAGAATGGAGGAGAAGGGATTGCATCATGGCCATCCTCCTGGGGAATGATTTCTCACTTTATGCCTCTCAAAAAAAAAGTATATATATATAATATAAATTATTAATCATGGTATATTAATACTGAGAAAGGGAAGTTATTAGGAAAGTTATTAATATCATAAATAATCATAGTTTTGATACTTAGGAAATAGGGAAATTATCAGGAAAGTTAGTAATACCATAAGTAATGACAGTTTTGATACTTGGAAAAAAACAAACATTCCCAATTATTTAAATAAGAATAAACACAGGAGAACAATAAAGAATGAAAGCAATTTATGTATATTGCACATCAAATCACAACAGAAATATGGAACATTTTAAGAATAAACTTTAAATACAGATATTTTCTCTTTGATCAATAATGTAAACAAACTTAATATTAATTTTGATAACATTTAACTACTTACTTTAAAATATTAAGTTTCTCATCAAAAGCTTTTCTTTCCTTCTCTTTTGCTTTTATTTCCTGATTCAATTCATTAATTTTTGCATAAAAAATTACTGTTTTACTTTTAGTCGAATCTAGTTCTTTAAAAATTATTGAGCGTTTATCCTGAAAAAAATTCACAGATTTTTTTTAAATACTTGAATTTTTAAATTTTCACAATTTAGAAACAGAAATTACATTGGCTGTGTGAAAAATTAAATGCAAGGAGTAGCCACTTATGAATATAACAACTTACATTTTTGTTTTCCGGTGTTGCATCTGATGAATTTTTATAAGAATAATACACACACACCAACGTACGGGCTGGCATCATGGCCTGGTGGCTAAGGCAGCTGGAGCTTACATGACAGACCAAGTGGTTTGAGTCCTGGACATGTGGCTTAAGAAAACACCAGGTACATGTGTTTAAGCCCAGAAACTTGAACGGAGAGAGAAAATGGAGGAGACAGGATTGTAGCATAACTATTCCCCCTAGGGGACTTTCTTATCTCCCACTCTCTGTCTCTCTCCCAGACAAGTGCAAATGCCCTCCCACAAAGAGAAAAAAAGAGAGAGAGAGAGAGAAAGAGAAACCTTAAAAAAATTATATATATATATACACACACACACACACACACACACACACATATATATATATGTAGGTACATATGTGTATATATATAGCTCCTTTTTCTCTCTTAAATGAACTTGCCCCCTGCAACATAGACATATATGCACACCTTATAAGTATGTTTTTTCAAAATGCACATACATGGTTATTTGTTCTCAAACATATACCACTACGACTACCCACATGTCAACTGTGGTTTGAGTCCTGGACCTGTTGGCTTAAAACTCACACTGTGCGGGCATGTGCACTTGTGTGCTCAAAATCCTAAAAGGAGAATGGAGGAGAAGGGATTGCGGCATGGACACACACCCTGGGGGGTGATTTTTCACTTTTTGTCTCTCTGTCTCTCTGGCAAGTGCATGTGCCCTATAGCAAACATCTCTCAAAAACAAAAACAAAAACTTACACCAGGCACATGTGCATTCATGCCCAAAATCACAAGAAGAGAGTGGAGGAAAAGGGATTGCAGAATGGCCACCTTTCCGGGATGATTTCTCATTTTCTGTCTCTCTGTATCTCTGTCTCTCTAGCAATTGTACACACCCTATAGCAAAAAGTCTTTCTCTCAAAAAAAAAAAAAAAAAAAAAGAAAGAAAGATAGAAAGAAAAAGAAATAGGACTTTATGGGCGGGCCAGCCAGAGACATGGTGGGTGAATAAGGTGCCTGGATCCCACATGGCCAATTCTGTGGTTTGAATACTGAACCTAGTAGCTTGAAAAATGCAGGGTGTGTGTGTGTGTGTGTGTGTGTGTGTGTGTGTGTGTAAAATCCTGAAAGGATAATGGAAAAGGAGGGACTGCAGCATGGCTATACCCTGTAGAGATGCTTCTCTTTCTCCGTCTCTGGTGACTGCCTGTGCCCTAAACAAATAAAAAGTAAGGAAATATGAATTTGCATCTATTTTTGTATGTTCTCTTCATGTCTGTTGGGGTTCCCATTGACCAACTGACTGACTGACTGAATCACTGAAGATTGTTCCCCACACTGCCTTTAACTAGCATTACTCCCTCAAGTGACTTGATAGGTCTCGGTTGCTCCCTTTGCTTCTGCTTTTCTCCTCTGACTCTTTCACTGCTTTTTTTCCATTTCAAAAATGGCTAATTTTTATATTTATTTTTCTATAAAATTTTAATGTTTGGTTTAGATATTAAATCGAGTATTATATTTGAATGTTTATATCCTCCCTGCCTTTTTTTACCAATTTTCCGGAATCCCTGGCACTTTTCTATTGATACATGAGTGTTTGTTTTTCTTCATGATAGAGTACATGCACATGCACATGAGTGTGTGTGCCTGTGTGTGTGTGTGAGAGAGAGAGAGAGAGAGAGAAGAGAGAGAGGCACCCTCCTTTGAGTCTGGCCACACTGCTCCCACCAGGCTAGAGATTTGAACCACAGTTGCCAGGTAAGATGCAGCTTCTCCTGAGAAGAGAACCAGCCCTGTTTGTTTTCTTTTAATAGTAGAATATAGTGGAAAGACGGCTAACTAGGATTCTCTGATGGTCCTACTGAGGTCATGATGTTATTCTTGGGGAAAATGTCACGTAAAAAAAGTAGAGATACCTAAATATGATTAAAGTACG